GAGATCTGGGTCCGGAATGGTGAAAATGTGTGATTTTGATGCATTTTCGGTCTTAAAATGGCCGCTATTCGACTATCGTTAATCGGATCATGAAAAAAATGCATGTGCATATGTCCCATATAATGTGTGATGTATGAGTGAAGTTTGAACTTAATCGGTTCATGCATGTTCGAGATACAGGTGACCACGGACGCACGCACGCAAACAGGGCAAAACATAAGTCCCCGTTTTCGGACTACGTCCGAACGGGGACTAAATATGCAGTAATGTGAAGTCAAATAATAGATGAGAACGCTGCATTTACATACAGACTAACTGACAACAAATTGGTTGTCACACACTTTCAAGTATACAAACAAGTGCTCCTTAAAAAGCACATTAGAAAACTATCCTAATTATGCCCAATATCTAATCGATAAATTTAACAGTTTCAAAAATGCAGTTGTTAAGAAGCATTGGTTTAAGCATGATATGAACTATTTAAAAAAGCAGAACAGATATGTTTGGTGTAGATTAATTAATATGTTGTATTATACAGTGTTAACATGTATAGCAAAAGAAGAGAGTTGACCCAGAGTTAGGGTTAACCCACTGTTGAAAAACGTATTAACCCGTTGTCGACCTGACCTAGTTTAGCTTGGAGTGTAAGGAATGTTCTCTACCCAAAGATCACTGTTTTAGCCTGGCATGGCAACTGAATAGCAGGTGAAATGGTGTGAATGCAGAGTTTAAGACAATGGTTGTCGCACCACATCATGGGACTCATAGCGACGCACACAACACATGTAAAATACATTGTTTACATTAAATTTTAACATGCGCTGTGCAATTTCACAAATTTACAAAAAAATCTAATCCTTAATCTATCAGTATGTGTGAACAAGGTTTTATTAAACACATGGACGAGATCTAAATATTAGTATATTGCGGTATAGTTTGAGAAATAATATATAAAACAAATGCTATTTAGAGCCATAACTTGCAATTTTAGACTACCAGAATGGGTTTTAATTTCAAAATTGTGTAAGCAATTTCAGACTAAACTGGGAGTACCGTTAAAGTCCTAATATAAACCGCATACGTAATAGTAACCGCACCCCCAATTCCGGCTTC